TTCATGCTCTTTTCAGTGTTTTTTTTTTTTTGGTTGGTTCGTTTTTGCGGCGCGCGCCGGGCGCGAGCGTGGATCGTTGCTGTTCATTGTCGTTTTGTCGCATTTTGTATTTGTGTTTGTTCTCCTCTTTGTCGACGGGGGTTGCTGAATCGCGTGCGCGCGCGAGCCTGTGGCCGCGCGCGTCGTTCGAATGGTTCGCGGCCCTTGCGGTTGCGCGAGGCGGGGGCAGTGCGTGCCCGATGGCAAGCGCGTTGAATTTTGTTGAACGTGTGGGCTGTATTTTTGCTTGCCTTGAAAGCGGCGACGTGCGCGGAGGCGCGCGCGCGCGCGCGTCGCGCGTATGGATTTTGCCAGACAACCGAGGTCGCGCGCATCATCGTAGCGGGCCGTTTTTGCATCGCAAATGCCGCCCTTCCGTGGCGAGTTTGAGCAGAACGGGCAATTCATTGCATGCGCTCTTGTTGCGAATGCGCGGGGTCGCGTGGCGCATTGCGCGTAGTGGCTCCGCTTTTGCCCAGCGCGCGCTTGCGCCACTTCGGCGTCGCGTGCCCCGTTGGCGCCGCGGCAGAGATCTGCCGCGCCACCTTCGCTTTGCGTTTGGGGCGCTGGCGTTACCTGCGTTGAACAGCACGCGAGGGGCGTAGTTGTCGCTTGACATTGCCACCATCGCACAGATGGCGATGCATGCGAGTACCGCGACGCTTACATTCCACGCTGGGCCTCGCGTTTTGTGCTTGCTCTGGTCTCCACGCGTTGGTTTTTCATTCCTTTTGACATCATGGCCGCTTCGCGTGCGGCTGTCTTCTAGTGAAAAATATCATCTATCATTATGTACTTCGCCATTCTCCTCCGTCCTCTTTTTCCACTCCTCCCGTTGCATCTTGCAACTGGCCTCGAGCTGCTCGCGGGGACAACGGGGCGCGGGTCCGTGGGGAAATTGCATATTCGCACCTTTGCCGCTCATCACTGATCCCGCCAGTTTTCTTTGAACCTTGAAGCACCTCGCGACACAGGCCCTCTGGGGGCCAAGGGCTTTCGCAGGAGCGCCGGAAACAGCCACGAGAGCTAGAGGGGCAAGTCGTGACGGCCCGGAGTTCTCGACCCCATCCGCGATTGGTTCGTGGGGCGGACGGCGTGCTCGCAAAGCGACGGCAATATAGACACATCAAGAAGATAATTACTACGTGTCGTCGCGGCACACCGGGTCGCAAGATTTCGAGTCCGACGGGGGCGTGAGTGAGAGATCTGCCGGCAAGCGTTGCGCCCCAGAATTTCGAGTCCAACGGGGGCGCGGTTGAGAGACATCCACCAGCGGGCTCTGATTCGTACAGTTTCGAATATGGCAGGAGCGTGCATGAGAGATTTGCGTTTCATGCGTCGCCCTTTCTCTTCCCGTTCTTCCGCCACCCCATTCCCTCTCTCTCGTTTGTTTTTCCTCTTCTTTGTAACGCCTCCTCATGTTCTGCTTCCATCCTCGCGCACTCCCCCCCCCCTCCCCCCGTCCTTGCCACCCTCCCCTCAGCGGCCCCAGAGATCGACGTCCTCATTTCCCATGGAGGTTGCGCACCCACCATTTCACGCGCTTTGGCCCTGCGATTTCTTTTCCAACGGCCGCAGTTCGAGACAACCTTCTCTTGCGTGGCGAGACTCTCATCCGCTTCCCCGTCGGGCTCCAGGGCTCCTGCCGAAAGGCTTGACGATGGATCTCTCGGCCGCGTTCCGGTCGGACTCCAAATTATGCTGTGCAATGCTTGTCGGCGGATCTCTCAGCCACGCCCCCATCGGACTCGAAATTCCGTGGTCCGGCTCGCAGCCGTGGGGACAAGACGAAAACCCAGTATGTGAAATTATCTTCCTCTTCCTCCTCGGTTTCGTTTATGTGTTGGCCCACGGAGCTCAACAAGTGCCCGTTGCGTTTTTGGCCTGTTTGGCACACTTGGCGCACGTGGTCTTCCTGGCGCACGCGACGCGCTCAGCGCACTGGGCATTTGGCGCAATTGGCCCGCGAGGCGCACCTGGACCACCTGGCACACTTGGTGCACGCGGCAGGCGTGGTGCACCTGGCGCGCGTGGTGGCCTGGCACACTGGGCGCCCCCAGGCGCACTTGGCGCATTTTTCGGTTCTGGCGCGCGTGGCTGACCTGATTCGTTGGGCAAACGAGCCGCGGGTTGCGAGCCTGGCGCGCGTGGCGCACATGGCCACGCGGCACACCTGGCAGGCGCACTTCCCGATCGCACAATGCTGACCCAGGCAGGATCAACTTAGCGTACTTTGCACGGTGGCTCGCACCGACACGGTCGTATATAGTGGGTATCCTGGGGGGCAGGTCGTGGGCACTGCCGTGGCGCGTCTAGGAGGTTATGTTGCTGGTCGAATGCGGTGCCGCTTAGTCTTGGGACAGTTCTAAGAGATAGTATGGTGGGTTCGATTTCCACGAGTCCGCGGCCCCTCAGGATCCAGCCACAGTGGAGTTGTCTCTCAAAAGGGCGCTGGCATCAGGAGCCTATTTGCGATTATGTCTGGGGATGCGCCATGCGCAGGGCTGCGTGTCAAAAGTATTCGGCCGTCATTTTGATATTTCGATCAACCTTGACGGACCTTGACGTCAACCTTGACGGTTAGCGAGCCAACGTTTTAGTATTTCGCTAGGTGTAGACAGTGAAACATGACACACACGAGAATATAGGAGGATGACATTGGGAGCCAGGGAAACCATGAAAAATCAGAAACCCATGTGCGCAAAACCACAATAACCTAGATTTGCCGCTGGCATCCCGCATGCAATCGCGAAAGCGCACTCACTGAGCATTACCAGAAAGACCAGGCAATCAGTTTAAACAACAGAAACCATTGGTTTTTTTTTCCAAGAAAAATGAAAATCAAACGAAGCCAACGAGAAGAACAGGAAGATCATGATCGGAGACAGCTATTCTATACACAACTTTTTACGCCGACTGGCGTGGACAGGGCTGGTGGTAATGGTGGTGGAAGTGGTGTTGGTGTTGTTGTTGTTGTTGTTGTTGTTGTTGTTGTCGTTGGTGGTGGTGGTGGTGGTGGTTGCGTGTGTGTGTGTGTGTGTGTCTGTGTGTCTGTGTGTGTGTGTGTGCGTGGTGGTGGTGGTGGTGTCTCTTGGGTCGTCTTGGGAGTCTCTTGGGCCGTCTTGTGGCCCTCTGGCGTCGTTTTGGGGCCCTCTTGGACACATGTTCGGCCATCTTGCGGCGTCCTTGGGGGCCTCGTGGGCCGCCTTGGCGCGTCGGGAAGCTGGGGGGGCGGGGGGGCAACCCACCGTACCATAACATTACTAGTAGATCGTATCTTGGCGCGCCCTACCAGGATGGAGCCCGCGAGAGTTTGTTTCCAGATTCCCTGGGGGAATCTGGTAACAAGCTCTTGTGGGCTGGATGGCCATTTGTGAAAAACCGCATCGTGTTTTCCCAAAACGTCCTTATAGTTTGACTTGACTTGCTCCCCGAAGAAATGCTGGCCCTCGCTTTCTCGCACTTCTGGTCCCGAAATCCAGATCTTCTTAGAGGGGGGGACTGGTCCTGGTCACAAACTCTTTTTGGGGTAATCTTGTTACAAACTCGTCTGAGGGGTCGGGTCGTCCTGCGTCCGTTTCGGGTTCGCCCCGTGATTGCCCTCAAGAGAGGGGGGGCGGGGGGGCGGGATGGGGGGTGGCGCGGCGGAAGGGGTAGGCAGGGGCACGTGGAGGAGGCGCACCACGGGGGCACCTCCAGCACGCCGGGCACAAAATCGCACCGACGCGCATAAACACGTGGAGCCACCTATGTGATTTGCACGCGACGTCTGCATGTTTTTGGTGTGTTGGCGGTGCTCGTTTCGCAGGTTAGCGCGGGGGAATTTGTTTTCAATTCCTTTTAAGGAAATTAACGTTTTCCCCCCAAGCCAGCCTGCAAAAGAAGCCCCGCCAGCACACCTGAATCATGAGGCACATCATGGGGGAGAGGACATAAAGTATGGGGGGTGGAATTGCGGTGGCAATTGGGGGGCGGATAGAGATGAGGAGGAAGGGGTCTCGTCGCCATGCCCGCCGCGGGCTGAGTCCGAACCCGAGCCCGAGCCCGAGCCAGAACAGTGACTTCAGGGATTTAGGGGGACACGGAGGGCAAGCAGGGGGGAGCAAGGGGAGGAGAAGGAGCAGGCGGAGGAGGAGGAGAGGGAGGCGAGCGATGACCGTTTATCTTAGGAGTCCGAAGTCTAGCCGCAGCTAGGGGCCAGGGCCATCGAGGCGCAGCGTGGGCGTGGGGTGCTGCAGCCTGCTTCACAAGAAACGCAGCGGCGCCGGGGAGGGATGAAGAAGAGGAGGGGGAGGAACAGGAGCAGGAGGAGAAGGAGAGGAGGGAGGAAATGGGGAGGAGGAGGAGGAGGACCTCGGACCCAGTAGCCCTACAGACAGCAACCAGGCGGTCGCAGTGAGTCCTCTTAGGCAGTCACGCCTTGAGCGTGCCCCCGTAGCCATTGGGCTTCAGCATGGATGTTTCTTTGTGGGCTCAGCTTAAGCGCAAGAGCTTAGTTCAGCGATTATCTGATGGTGGCGACCCGCCATTGTTTTCCAGAGATGCCTTGCTCAAGTGCGTGCAACAATTATCGGCTCCTGGCTGTCCGCGGTGGTTTGCCACGAATCCTGATCGCATATTGGAGTATGAGTGCGTAGCACAGCTGTGGGTGAGCGGCTCTAGGACAGGGTATTCTGAGAGCGTGCTTGAACGTGTCATGGACATCGCTGGAATCGTGCACGCTGCCGCTCGCCCGCCAGCCCCCTCGAAGAATCAGAAACACAGACGGAAGCGAGGTCAACCGAAGAAGTACGCCAAAAAGGAAGCCAGAGACGAGATCACTCGATCAGTTGTGCTTAATCGCAGGGCCTTGACACGAGCACGTGAGAAAATAGCAGAGCTCAAGGATCTTGTCAAGAATTTGAAAGGCAGAATTTCAGAGTTGACTGGTCGATCGGGGCATTTCATCAGCCCGCCCGAAGGTATGGATTTGGCTCTGCGTGCTGCGATGAGCAACCAGTCTGCAAACAGCATCGGCATGGGGCTGAAAATGGATTTAGCCAGCAAGACTTGCATTCGTTGGGAACTTCGCTGCCATGCCAGTTTGATTGCTTGTGTTCGGGGCTGCTATAAGATACTCCAGGACGTCAATTACTCAGGCCCAGAGGCGTCACTGTGCGCCCACGTCGTGTCCTGTGATGCCACGAACGCACTCGTGTGGCAGAACACAAAGCTTCACAATCTCAAAGTTCACAGCTTCTACCCGTTGCACGATTTGGCCGACAGTACGTTTCAGGAAGTGTGCGACGGCATGGAGTGCGCAGCCATGGTAGCTGACATGAGACCGATGGTGAATGGAACGTCCGCCGAGCACCTGCACGGCACGATTCTCTCTCAACTGAGTTCAGTTGGGGCACCTACATGGAAGGATGATGCTCCGCCGAAGAGGGCGAACCACCTAGAAATTTGGATCATGAACTCGGACGCCGGTGGAGACATCGCAAAGTGTCGGAAGTGCGTGCAAGCAGAGGTTGCTGCAGACCCAGGAAAAGTATTCATTGGAGTGGATTGTATGATGCACCAATACCACTTGATGGTCCGCAGCGACTTGGGTGTGATAGAGCACGCCGCCATTGAAGTATTCGGTCTTGACCCTGGGTATTGGAGCCGCTTGGCAAGCATCATGGTCTTGTGGCGGGACAAGGCTCGCAGCGTACACTCGGAACTTGTAGGTTTGCATGCTGGCAGCGCCATGGCGTCAGCAAAGCTACCGCCGCGAGCTCTGGTTGGCCGCTGGGGGTCTGTGAGCGCATGCGAGGAGTATATTCTGGCATGTGATGAGACGGCTGTCAGAGAAGCACTTCGTCGAATTTGTGAAGCATCAGCCCCTCACAAGGCGAAGCGCAAGAAAGACGCCATCGATCAGGCGGCCGAGGATTCAGCCAAGGCTTTCACTGAGAAGATGAGCAAGGCCAGAGCCAGCGTGCTGACAAGCTGTGCCAGCGACGCCATGTGGGCATTGATAAGGATTGCGCTGACAGCTCGGCAACCTCTGGACCACCTCTATCATTGGTTGATGAAAAAAGGCAATGCGTTCCATGCTAAGGTTCTGAACTGGACTTCTTTTGGTGACGTTGAACGCGCAGCCGTTTGTGAGCTCGTTTGTGGTAAAGCAGAAGAGATCAACACCGAGCTTGATGAATTGCTCTGCTTTGCTCGATTCAGACCGATTCTGGCCGATGCGTCTGGGCGCGACGCGCAGCTTCGCTTGGCGTGCTATGTATCTGCAGTGATCAACAACATCTCTTCGTTTCGGCACAGATTCTTGTGGCAATCCCAATCATATCCGCGACGGCTGTTCCTTCTCATCAAAGACCCACCACATGAGAAGAGCACGTTGAGAGCAAACGAGGCAGCAACGTTGCTGGACGTCACAGCCGATGATTTGGAACTCAACACGGCTAAGATTCGGCGAGCGCTTCTTCCGAGTATTACTGCTGCAGCGAGCGACGGCACGCTCAGCAAAGAAGCTTTCAATTTTCTGAGTGTACTCGCTGTGCTGATGACTGGGGACACGCAGGAGATCGAGGGGCTGAACAACGTATGCAAGGCTGTGGTGCGGAGTGGACCCAAAGCTGGCTTGAGCTTGGTTGCAGCTCGGTCAATTTTGCGCAAGTTGCTTGGCTTAGGCCGCAAAGATGCCAAGAGGAAATGGGCTAGCGTGGCAAATCGTTTCGAGGAGCTGAAGGCTGCCGCGGTCGAGTTCTATCCAGATGTACAAGCAGTGCTTGCAGACCCTGAACGCTTCGCGGCCGCGCCGCCAGTGGCATTCACAGCTCCGCCCGTGCCCGCGCGCCTCTTGACAGAATACAGGAGGACAAGCAATGTGGGCCGGAGAGCCAAGGCATGGAGCTTGGCACTTTACCGAGCAGTTGGCAAATCGAGAACAGCAACGTATTGTTTGTATGTGGCTGATTCGAAGGATTGCATTCCGACTAACGTGTACTTGAACGCTGGTACTCTAGGCCTCCTAGATGGGGTCGGAGTAGATGGGGTCGGTAGATCGCGATCGCGCCGCATCGCCGATGCATCGACGATGTGGCTCGACGTGGAGCCCGATTTTGTCCACGCCGACTTCGCCGGTGCATCGCCCACGTCGACGATGCATCGCACGTGCATCGCCCATGCATCGCCGATGCATCGCCAACGTATCGCAAACGCTGCGCGATCCTCCGACCCCATCCACTCGGGCCCCATCTAGGATGCCTCTAGGTACTCATGGCTGTCTTGGTTTCCTCGCGCACTGCAGGGTATATAGTGGAGTGGCAATGCAAGATCCAAGCATGAGACTTCAACGACCTGTCCAAATTACAAACGCAGAAGATTTTTTTGAGACGTGTTCAGACTTGGGCGATGAGTTCCATGTGTTCAAATGCGAGATCGACTGGTCAACCGACCCTGATCAATTCGGTAGGGGTGCTCTGCTTCTGGCCACTGCAGAACATATATTTACTTTGAGCGACCCGCCTCCACCGAAGAAAACAACAGTTGACGTATCAACATCTCCACTTGAAGAGTTGCTTGATCTCGATCCGTTTGATCTCACTGAGGAGCAGTTCGAGCAGTTCAAGGCTCGGCTTGAACTCGAGGAGGATGGCTATGAGCTTCGCGCAGAGGATCCCGGAGACTGCGAGGAGACTCAGGAGACTGAGTCAATTGTCAAAGTCGCCAAGCACCTCAGCCAATCCGACTTGCCGAAGGATGATGAGCTCGCATTCGCAGCTGCATCAGGTGATACTGAAGATTTAATGGTTTCTTGTTTGTTGTCGGCGACGCATGGGCTTCCTCATGGCGAAGACCTGGGCGCCATTAGTGAATGCGCTTGGGAGCCAGCTTTAGAGCAATGGCTCTCTGAATCTCTTCAGGGGGACGCGGTGCTTCTTGAGCGCGCCACTGCAATGGCCAACTGCTCGGAGCTGCTGGATCAGCATGGCAACTGTGCCATGGTTGTGACCAGCGACCGCATATGTAATTTAGTGCACTGGGTTGACGCCTCCAAAAGAAGGGGGCGTAGAGTGCGGCTGGATACGAAGAAGCGCCTAATCTATTCGATCCCATCTTCCGTCGCAGTTGAATGTTTCGAGCACCAGCCCATGGTCCATCCTAACGTAGGGGTTAGGATGATGAAAGTGAAGCAAGGCGACCGCCCGTCATTGAGTTTCAACATGGCGCGTCTCAAGTGGACGTGGCAGCGTATGCTCGAAGGAGATGCGCTCAAGCCTGTCGGCGAGTGCGCCCTCTGCAAGGCCAGCGTCCTCGGCAGCGCAGATGCTATGTGCTGCCCCCTGTCCGACGGGGCGCCGAGGGGTACGGAGGAACGGGGAGGGGCTTCTCAGAAGGAGAGCTTCAAGGTCCAAGGAAAGACCTATCCTTCTAAGAAGCCCTCTTCTGTCCACTGACCTCCTTGGCGCCCCGTCGACTCGTGCTCTTTAACGTTTCATGCCCAGTGCTCAGACAAACTCTGTTCCTGGGTGGCCTCGAGCCGTTTGCTTGAGCGCAAAATCAAACATGATAATGCCAAGTGGAACCCAGGAGCCTGGCCGAAGCCAAGCGGCGACTGCACGTTTCAAGACCTGCTGTGCAACATGTGCTTTTCAGTAGCGAAGCTTGCGTAAAACGTGAAGGCTCCCTTGAGGCCCTTGAGGCCCCTCAAGTATATGAGGTCGTTCTTTTCTCTTGTGAGTTATTGTGGGTCTTTCCTGATGTGGCGCCCTTAAGCGGATGTGCCAGGAACCCCCATTGGGCAAACCCATTCTGGGAACGCGTGCTCCAAGCTGTAACATGTAACTTAGACGCTCTGCTCTGGGGCGCAAGCAGTACGGCGGTGTGACGAGGAAGAGGATGACGGTGATAAATGTTATGAGCGTTGTGATTCGACATTGTGTGAGCGGAGAGTCGTTCGAACAGGTAATGGTTGAGCCAATTCTGACATCAATAACATTAACTCTGGACATAAGGCTCAACTATGGCTCATCCGGCACTCTGTCAAGGCTCAGCTCCGAGCTCCGACATGCCCGCCCCCAGAGCCCCTGCCAAGGCTCAGCTCCGACAGACCATCCCCAGAGCCTTTGTCAAGGCTGACAGACCACCTCCCACAGAGCCTATGTCAAGGCTCAGCTCCGACAGACCACCCCCCCATGACATCTGTCAAGGCTCAGCCCCGACAGACCACCCCCCAGAGCCTCCGTCAAGACTCAGCTCCGACAGAACCCCTCCAGAGCCTCTGTCAAGGCTCAGCTCCGACAGACCCCCCCCCCCAGGCCTTTGTCAAGGCTCAGCTCTGACATACCCCCCCCCCCCCAAGAGCCTCTGTCAAGGCTCAGCTCCGACAGACCACCCCTCTTAGGCCTCTGTCAAGGCTCAGCTCCGACATGCCTCCCCCCCAGAGCATATGTCAAGGCTCAGCTCCGACATGCCCCCCTCTGTCAAGGCTCAGCTCCGACAGACCCCCCCTCCCAGAGCCTCTGTCGAGGCTCAGCTCCGACAGACCCCCCCCAGAGCCTCTGTCAAGGCTCAGCTCCGACAGACCACCCCCCCAGAGCCTCTGTCAAGGCTCAGCCCGACAGACCCCCCCCCCAGAGCCTCTGTCAAGGCTCAGCTCCGACAGACCCCCCCCCCAGAGCCTCTGTCAATGCTCAGCTCCGACAGCCCACACCCCCCAGAGCCTCTGTCAAGGCTCAGCTGACAGACCCCCCCAGAGCTCTGTCAAGGCTCAGCTCCGACAGACCCCCCCCCCAGAGCCTCTGTCAAGGCTCAGCTCCGACAGACCACCCCCCCTCTGTCAGACAGACCCACCCCCCAGAGCCTCTGTCAAGGCTCAGCTCCGACAGACCACCCCCCCTCCCAGAGCCTCTGTCAAGGCTCAGCTCCGACAGCCCCCCCCCAGAGCCTCTGTCAAGGCTCAGCTCCGACAGCCCACCCCACCAGAGCCTCTGCCAAGGCTCAGCTCCGACATACCACCTCCCCCAGAGCATGCTCTCCATCTCCGTGGCCATCTGTGCTCATGCTGAAGTGTTGCGCTCATGTCAGGAACGCCTGGCAGGCCAGTTGTAGAATCATTGGAGCAATGCATCAATTGGTTTGACGATTGTGTTGGGCGCTATGGCGGTAGCAACTGGCTGGAACGATTTGCACAGCAGCTGGCTGGCATTCAATTGTCTAGCTCCTTTTCAGGTGTTGGAGCTGGAGATATAGCAATGGAGATGCTAATCGAGGGCGTGCGTCGCCACATGTCGTCGTCATGCGGGGGGTGTGCCACCATTGCCAGCCCGCATCACAGAAACTTGTTCTGCGTGGAATTTGATCGTGAATGCCAAATGGAACTTCAACTGCTGCCAACGCCGCCAGAACATTTGTTCGGGGATATCCTAGACTTTGTGAATCCTCGCTGCAGGTCTCACTTCAGACAGAATTGCACTCGCTTTTCATATGAGCAACTACAAGGTTTCATTAATAAGGGCAACTTCGTCAAGCCTACAGCCCCTTGCGTTCTTCACGGCGGGTGCGAGTGTGATGCGCGCAGAGCAGATATTCACATAGCTGGCCCGCCTTGCGTAGATTTCTCGTCCATGTCTTCTGATACTAAAGCACTTCAGGGCCCGCAGCTTTCATGTCTAATGATATGGATAGCACTGCGCATGGCAATCATGGAGCCGTTTATCTTACACGAGAACGTGGCTGGCGTCGACAATGAACCCATCCGCCCTTTGATCGATGTACTTAGTAGTGTTTATATTATACAGACATGCGTATTTGACAGTGCCAATCTAGGTCATGCTGCCCATCGCACTCGAAGACTGTCGTGGCTGATACACAAACAATACGTCGTGGTTGAACCATCTTGCCCTTGGCCTGATTCAATTGAGCGTTTCTTTCGTGATCTCGCTGGTAATTTTACGTACCATGAGTATATGATTGCAGACGAGGGCCTGGTTGATGCTGAGGTTCAGTGG